GCAAGTCTCAAGCAACGATGCTTCGACCACGTGCTGAGTACGGCCTCAGTCATTCCTACCTATAGTACACCATAGCTAACAATCATTCTGAATAATCGACGACAGTATCTGTGGACGTCCTTCTTTGCTGATGTTCCCATACCTGTACTCGGTATCGATTTCCTGCATGTCTTCTAAAGGAACAACACGAAACTTTTTTATGCAATCTGCGTTGAATGGGACTTTTTTAGAAACATCTAGAAATTGCAGAATCATATACTACAACTCTGATTAGATACTTAGCTATACTATCACAATATTTATAGTATGGTCCCCTAACCTTGGAGAAGCACAATATTTGGAACAACTCTAGAAATATCTGTATTTTTCTACATTTAAACTAACCTTACATTAAAGCATTCTTTCCTTGCATCCTAATATTATTGTATTATATATAAATATACATTATATATTATCTACTTCTTTTTACTCGTAAAATTCACTTCATTGATTTCGAACCCTTCTGCACACTCACTATACGAGGTGATAAATCAGATTCCCGTTAAATAACGAATTATAATTAATTAGTGATATAGATAAGTACAACAACGCCACACATATATACACACACACTGATCAAAGTACGACTTGTTTTGGGTTTCGGTCCCATGGAAATTATGTTGTGTTTACTTTCTCTTAATTGATGATTTCAAATTTATAAAAACAGAAACCTCCGAAACTCTGCCCCAAAATATCGTAACAGTGCTCACTAGTGACTAGCTTCGTGAGGAAATTTTCGCAGTTCTAGTTGAAAAGACGTGACTAATGGTATTCAACCCTGTCGGGTGTAGGCAGTAACTACCAAAGACAAAAAGATGAGGTTGCGCAAAATCCGTAGATCAATCAGAGTTAGACATTAACACCGTTGGATACCGGCCCAGTGGTCCGATGGTTAGGCGTTCGCGCAAAATACCGAAGGTCACGGGTTTAATTATAAAACATGCCTTTTCCTATGGGCTCAATGTGATTCAATACAACATAATGAAGAGTGTTAAATCAAAGTGAATAGTATTTCATCACTTTGACCTTTACTCTATAACGCAACATTAAGTTTTATTACGTTTCTAAGCAGAAGAGTGATAGAGCATTGCATCATAGGTGATGTCATACTAATCCTCATTCATACACCTAACTCCTCAGAACTACAGTTTAACTCTTGTTACTTTGCTCTAACCTTTTTGCAAGCTTAAATGAGTAATAACACTGACTCATAACACTGGCTCGACTGCTAATGTGTAAACATAAACACTTTTCTAACATTCTAAGGAATAAATTGACATATGAGAGTTAAACACTCAGATCAAAGCTCTTACCTCAATGTTTTACGCTGTTATTTGCTTCATAACTAGGTAGCGTTTCCTGATTGGCTGGTAGGTTGATTAAGGTCGTCTGTACATTATATTTTTTATATGTTGAACACACTATCGAAGATCCTAAAACTCCTAATAATAAAGTACTGTAGTATGATTTGCTTCTGCAGCAGTAGTTCTCAACATACATAAAGGGAAAATTAAGATTCTACGATGCAACACAACATGCACCAACCAAATTACTCTTGATGGAGATGCCTTGGAGGATGTTAACACCTTTACATATCTTGGCAGCATCACTGACAATCAAGGTGGATCCGATGCAGATGTGAGGAAGCGTATCGGCAAAGCAAGGGTTGCATTTCTACAGTTGAAAAATATCTGGAACTCCAAACAACTTTCAACTGAAACCAAAATCAGGATTTTCAATACAAATGTCAAGACAGTCCTACTATATGGAGCGGAAACTTGTAGAACTACCAAAGCCGTCATCCAGAAGATACAAGTGTTTATGAACAGTTGTCTACGCAAAATACTTCGTATTCGCTGGCCAGACACCATCAGCAACAACGTACTGTGGGAGAGAACAAACCAGATTCCAGTGGAGGAGGAAATCAGGAAGAAGCGGTGGAAGTGGATAGGACACACATTGAGGAAAGCATCCAACTGCTTCACATGACAAGCCCTTACTTGTAACCCTCAGAGTCAAAGAAAAAGAGGAAGGCCATGGAACACATTACGCCGACAAATAGAGGAAGACGTGAGAAAAATTAACGAAAACTGGAAGGAACTGGAAACGGACGCCCAGGACATAGTTGGATGCTTCATTGGGGGTAACAGACGTAATTAATTCAATAAGTATGATCTGGTTTTCGCTTAGGCATGGTACTTTGTTTCGGATGAAGGTATTATTAAAGTTGACAAAATCTGAATTGATACACATCTGATCAATGCATCCATTAATTTTCCCTAGCGTATTTAATGTTTGTTAATCAATAGTCTCTTTTTCACTTTTTTAACTTCTTGTTATATTATCTATTGAAATATTAAAATAGATTAAGATACTTGTTTTAAATAATAATGATACTTATGATTAATGTTGAGAAAATTTAACAAAATTTTTCTCATCTTAACATAATGAATAAATAATTCGTGTGAATTTTTTTCACTTACAGTACAGATAGTTAGTTAATTTAATCTTACATACATTGCACACACACATATGTCAACTTTTAAACTGATTACCTACTAATTTAAACATTATCACACTGAATATTTAAAAATAAATGAGATGTTTTAAGTGAAGTAGTTTCTTCTACTTGTTGCTAAATGTATATCAAATGGTAAAGTTTGTAATTATGAACAATTAGTGATATGATAGAATAAAGAAGAGAAAATTGTTGATAGAAGTTTACTAAGTATGAATGCAGTTTTCATTTGGAAACTATTATAACTTCTTGTTATCTACATGATTCAATGTAATGGTAATGCAAGTGAGAAGATTGAGGCTGGCGAGGAAGATTGTATTATGCAAATTTACACTCTGAGTCAATTAAAAACCACAACATTACATTGAATACTCTATTTGCACACCATCTTTGAGTCGTGACTTCCAACACTCCATCATCCTTCTTCCATTCCTGTTGTTACTTCCTTTCCTTCCTGTTGGTACTACTCCATTTACTTCTTACTTTTGCTCCATTTGCTTTCCGTTTTCCTTTTCTGACTGTGCGACTCATTCTTTCACGTCCCTTCTTATACTACTTAAATAGTTCGTATAAGTAGTACACACCACACAAGGTTTAACGTTGATTGTGAATTCAAACGGTATTTCCGACAGGTGGATTACTTCTCTTTGGGGACATTAAATCCTCAGAGCTCAATTGGAAAAGGTCCTTCCTAATTTTGGATTTCTTATGTTTTGGCGCATAAGCTGCTTAGTTGACATGCAGATTACATTGGTTGATGGATTATTTCAGTATGCTATTTTTGTGTCTTTCCCAAGGATGTTTCTATCATGGATCAATAAGCAGTTCGGTGCTTTCTTCAATATGTGTCCTATCCACTTCCACCGCTTCTTCCTGGTTTCCTCCTCCACTGGAATCTGATTTGTTCTCTCCCACAGTAGACTGTTACTGATGATGTCTGGCCAACGAATCCAAAGTATTTTGCGTAGATAATTGTCAATAAATACTTGTATCTTCTGGATGATGGCTTTAGGAGTTTTCCAAGTTTCCACTCCATAGAGTAGAACTGTCTTGACAAGTTTATCGAAAATTTTGACTCTGATGTTTGTTAGTAGTTGTTTTGAGTTCCAGATATTCTTCTTCTTCTTCAAACTATAGATGACCTCGATAAATTAACTAAAGTTATAAACTCCAACTACACTTGGTAAAATTATTTTCTTTACCACAAACTACCCCTTTTCAAAAACTATTTTCGGACTGGTTAAAAATTCTTCGTGATTTTTTTAAACTCATCTCTACACTTTACTCTTATCAAACATTTTTATAATTAATAATTACTTCTATAAAATAATCGTCCCGACCGTAGCTGCCACCTTGACGTGGTGGTTGGGCTTGCCTATCGTGATGACCCGACCGAGCTATATTGACTGCAACATATGTTCCTGTAGGTTGTAACATGCCAGGCAAGTCGACTGGAGAATGGTGAGACTAAAGGCAGCTATTCAATGTCTGAGTGCGAAGTAGTACTGCTGACTGTAGAGAGGCATGACAGCAGCAAGGTGTTTTCCTCGGACAACCAGCATCTGCAGCCATGCTGCCTTCTCACAACGAAGGTAGGGGTTAGAAAAGGTCTACCCTAAAAATGTCACACCTCACCCTACCTCACAGATCTCCATCTCCGGTGGTAAGGGCTGCCCAATAAGGGCTTTTGAAAAGAGCGTAGCTAATAATCAAAAACATTTTTCATAAAAATGCCGTGCGTGACCAGCCTGAAGCAGTTATCCCTAGGGCTCTGATGTCATGCCCCCAGGTCTCTAAGACCAACACTTATATACCTTCCTGTTCAGATTCTTCAAAAAAAAACACTCTTCAACGGTGTAGGCAGCCTGGAAGTGACATCCTTTCTCATACCTGTAACAGCATACTAAACCAAACTAGTCGCAATCAAATCCTTCCTACACACCCCTAACATCTCTCTTATCTCTACGACTCACCCTTCTTACACTCCTTTATCAACCTGAACCACTGATGCAAACCAATCAAGTTCACAAAATGTTATTCCCGGTCTCCTGGAACTTCGCTGTAAACTACATGTTGAAGAAAATACTTGTCGATTAGTTTTTAAATGTAGTTTTTTGTTTGTGTGTAACAAATGAATGAATCTGTTGTATGACAAATATACCAGACATTTTACGATTCGTTAAAAATGCATGTAGTTTAATATTTATGATCATAATTTTTTATAGAGGTGCACAAAATACATAAAAATTCAAACTTGAAATTATCAAATCCCATTGAATAAACATTTTGTCCGTATTTTCTGACAAAATATATCCAAGCGCTCGCTATACTAAATAAAATCCAAATACACCATTTCAATATGATTGGTAAATCATAAAGAAATTATACATCTTACATATGATAAACTCTTATGATTGGTGAGCTTTCATATATATATTATCTAAACATTCATTTTACTTAGTTTCCATAGGATTGTAGTGAAGGAGAAAACACAGGTGAGAGCAACCGAATTGTATTTTTCGCAAATTACAGAGTTACTCAGTAAAATTGGAAAACCATATCGTAAACGGTTAATTTGCAAATCTTCAATCCATCATCAATCCATTGTTTGACATTTCACTCACTATTCATGCGTTTCATACAAATTCCATTGTGTTCCCACTCTTCCTTTCTCGATCTTCCCTCATCTTCTGCTGCCAGACATTACGTTTCCACTCGCGTCATATACTACTTATAAGTATCGCGCACCACAGGATGACACAATCGATCAATTGTACATAAAACTCATTGACACAGATATATTAATTGACATAAGAAAATTATTTTTCATAAAAGGCACTACTACTTTGTTTTTCTGTTGTTGAAGGTAAACGTTCTATTTCAGTCATAACTTTGATTATTACAATAAAGTCAACGTAAGGTAAGTAAAAATTGAATAGTGGTCATTATTTACGGTGTAATAAATATTCTCACAATGTACTCATCAATGGCTCATTTCATTGAAGGCAGAATTGAGAACTAGTAATCATAAGACAAGTATTTTATTGTCGTGTACAATTTGGCATTACTACACACCCACACCTTGACTACTGATTGATAGGGAACTCAATAATGATCACTGCTGAAGAGTTCCATACCATGGAAAAAATATATTTATATCAATTTCCTTGATTTTCAGTGGTACTCGAAGTTAGATAGACACCTATGATAAATATTTTACACAAATTAGAACAAATCTCCACAATATTGAGTTCATCCAAACTTGTTACTGTTTGATATATTTCGATTTACTTCAATTCATTGTAGAGTTTAGTTAAATATGTGCAAATTTTCTGATTGATATTTAGAAATTCAAACGATTTAATTAGTTAGTCTATCGCGTAAATATGTTCTTTTTTTATGTTTGTTTCATTGAGCTAGACATTATCTTTTCCGATTTAATGGGGTTCATTTGATCATGCTTAAAATCATATTTAGTACTTACGTAATCATTGAGATGAATAAAAGCCTACACTTATGCAAATATTTAGTAAAATTTGATTAGCTTTATGTTGAAGCATTTAATGTTCGGATAGTGTGTGTCGAATAGGGAAACAGGCTTCGTTAGCTAGTGTATTCTGGAATCTCGTGCCATCGAAGTATGCTACGTCTCAGAAACGCGCCTACAGGATCTGAGCAAAATCATTAATTTGATGTCACCTTATCCAAATAGAGAATCAACTAGGTTTACGTTTCGTGTATTTGGAAGCCTTGCTGTTGCTCTCCGAGAATGGATCTCAGTAGATAGTCGCTTGTGCGCTGTCCAACTAAACGAGACAGTAAAGACTCAGAAAGATAGGGAGGCTCACCGTTGCCTCTTCGTTGTATCTCCCTACGCTGATAATGAGCTTTACAAAAAGCTTTCAGAACTGCTCCAAAATTTTGGGTGGCTGGTGACTTCAATGCTCAAGCAGGTAGACAAAGTAGAAAGGAAAGACACCTGGGTGGATCTTATAGTATCGAAGAGATAATGGCGACCGACTGCTGCAGCTATGTTCAGATAACTGCCTAATCCTAGTAAATACTAACTTTAAGCACAAGGACAAACATCTTTGGCACGGCGATCCCCAAAGTCGTCTCAACGATGAACCCACCTAGATCACATCGATATCAGCCATCGATGGACAGACTCTATTGAAGACTGTCTCTCATTCAGGGTCACATGTTTCCGGACCGAATTTGCTACCTTGACGTGGTGGTCGGGCTTCTCTATCGTAGTGACCCAACCGAGCTATTTTAGCAGGAACGTATGTTCCTGAAGATTCTACCATGCTAGACAGGTCGATTGTAGAACGGTGAGATTAAAAGCACCTATTCAAGGTCTGAGGGCGAATTCGTACTGCTGATTGTAGAGGGGTGTGACGGCAGTAAGGTGTTTCCCTCTGTAGCGATGCTGTCTCTTCACAACGGAAGGAAGCGGTTCGAAAAGGTCGACTCTAAAGATGCCACATCTGACCTTACCTCACGGATTTCCATCTCCGGCGATAGGACATTTTAAACAAGGTCGGAGCTAACAATTCAAAAACTTTCGATAAAAAGGCCTTGAGTGACCGACTTGAAGAATTTGTCTCTTGGGCTCTACGGTCACGCTGCTAGGTCGCTAAGACCAACACTAATCTACCTTACTTTTCAGGTTCCTCAGAAAACACCCTTCCACGTTATGGGCATCCGTGAAACTAGTTCATCCAAACTTATCATTGTTTGATATATTTCGATTCACTTCAATTCATTATGGAGTTTAGTTTCTTTTTACGTTTGTTTTATTGATTTAAACATTTTCTTTTCCGATTAAGTGTGGTTCATTTGATCATGCATAAAATCATACTTAGTTATTACGTAATCATTGAGATGAATAAAGGCCTACACTTATGTAAATATTTAGTAAAATTTAATTAATCCACGTAGGATGTAGTGACCGAGAACACAGGTGGGGCACCCGGATTGCAGAGTTACTCAGTAAAATTGGAAAACCATATCGTAAATTGTTAATTTGCATAATATCAGTCAATCATATTGAACTGGACTGTTCCTGTTGCAAAACATCAATCCATCATCACTATTCATGAGTTTCATACAAATTCCATTGTATTCCCACTCTTCCTTTCTTGATCTTCCCCCATCTTCTTCTGCCAGACATTACGTTGACACTCACGTCATATACTACTTATAAGTAGCTCACACCACAATGTAACAAGTTTTGACTGATTAATATAGATTGAATTTGATTAGAACACTATTGTTGGTTTGTTCAATAAAAGTAGAAAAATCGTAGCCTATAAGTAAACACTTTTGTATACTGAGTTAATAATGCGGGATTTTCCTGGAAAGTTCTCGAAAAATCAGTGTTACTTTTCCAGATTTAATTAGTATTTATTATTCCTCTGATTCAATATAGATTACTAATCGTGTAGTGAAGGAGAACACAGGTGAGGGCAACCGAATTGTATTTATTATCTCAAATTACAGAGTTACTCAGTAAAATAGGAAAACCATATCGTAAATCGTTAATTTGCAGATCTTCAATCCATCATCAATCCATTGTCTGAAATTTCACTATTCATGCGTTTCATACAAATTCCATTGTGTTCCCACTCTTCTACCTTTCTTTTGCTCTTCCCCCATCTTCTGCTGCCAGACATTACGTTTACACTCGCGTCATATACTACTTATAAGTAGCGCGCACCACAATCGTATAGATTTAAAATTTATAACATTTTTATAAGCAGTTACATGAACTAACAAGAAATCGTCGTTATAGTTACGTTTTATTTTCACTGGTCAACATGTGGGTGGTCTTGATAATTGAAATCATAAAAGGAGTTACGTTTGAAATTGGTTTTAAACGGCATTTTTATTTGTATGTTAAATATAATGTATGAAAGTGGTCTGAAATTTGACTGCAGAAAAACAACTCAGCTTGTTGAATACTTGTTCAATCATTTGACATTCATTCATCAAGTGTTCTTTGTGTTGAATGTTTTGGTTTTTGGTGACATTTCTTCACCTAGTCACTTTAATTTATATTAATTTATGTCAACCGATCTCAATCTACACGGTTTTACTTTCTATGAATGATATAAACAGCATTTTGTTCAAGTTTCAAATTGAAAGTTAGAAATAAATTTGTTTGAATTGGTTTTTTATATAGAAGATTTTTTGGGGCAAAGTTTTGGAGGTTTGCGTTTTTACACATTTGAAATCATCAATCAATCATTGTTAGACCACCATTAGAAACCTGGAAGCACTGCAAGACGGCCGTGGAGGAGCAGGAGTCGTGGATGCGCACTGCTGATGAGTCCCATACAAGGACGAAACGGCCGTCCAGTGCTTCCAGGTTTCTAATGGTGATCTAACAATGATTGATTGATGATTTCAAATATAGAAGATTGTTGATTGAATTCTGAAGAGTTGTAGAAAGATTGTATACTCGACTGATTTGAATCTACAGGAATGTGAAATGAAAGAAAGTTTTAAATGTCTAAATTATTTGCAGTTCCCAGTTTTATATTAGGGAATATTTATAATGCTCTATAACTGGACACGTGATTGTTTGTATTCAGTGATTCATTTTTTCATTTTTTCATAAAGGACTTGATGATAGAATACACAAAGTGTTAGATAACTAAATTAAATGAAAAGATTTACTCAGATGACTTCAAAACTCAATTTGAAAGTGGAATATTTTTCTATTTTCTGTATATGTTATTAAGCATTAAGCTACATTATTCTTTATCACTAAACAAACTACTTATTCATTTAATATGAGTAGTAGGTTTATGAAAAGATTTTCTGCATGATTAAAAGCTGCTTGTTCATTGATTTAAAGACCAGAAAAATTTTTAACGAATGCTTTTATGAATTAGTATAAATACTAAAGACTAATTGATCATTTATACAGTATACAAAAAAAATTATGAGTGCGGTAAGTCAATACTTTGGTTATTATATTAATAGGGTGAAATGGAGTGTGGTTTAACGGAATAGAAGCACTAACTTATGACATTTAGCGTTATATATATCCTGTTTTCACCACAGGATACAAAAATTCATTGTAAGTTTAGTATTTATATCAACATTTTTTAAGAACAGTTATATAGGTAGGTAGCCAACCAATGATTCCTGTCAACCTTTTCCTAATGGAACTTGATCAATCTCCGTCTTGAATGTTTATGACTGACTTTGCAGCTGCCTCCTAGAGCTTTAGACTACTTCTAAACCTCAGCTCGGACATAAGATTGATCAGAGTTAGATATTAATAGAGTTGGATGCCGGTTCAGTGGTTTAGAAGTTAAACATTCACATAAGAGACTGATAATCCTGGATTCGATTCGCGCGAGCGGGCATCGTGAACGCACACTGTTGAAGAGTCTCATACCTCTGACTTGATGGCCGTACTTCCAGGTTTCTAATGGTAGTCTAACGTTTGTAGAAAGCTTCTCTTCAATGCTGATTGGCTAAAATGTTTCCCAGTTTATTTTTATTTATTCTAACAGGCTTTAAACATTATTTTTCCGATTATAAAAGTTTTTATACTTTATATTATTGTAACTACCTAATCTTATTTCTTATCTATTAAGACTCTATCTATTAATGGCGGCTACATTTGGTAAAAGTGTACAAATCTCACTTTCATGGATTCCACAATGTAATGGAAAATATCCAGAAAATGCTATAACAGTCGGTGATGGTATTTATGTAGTTCGATCAAGATTTATCAATGAATTACTTCCTGGTAAACTGATACCTAAACAAGGCAAATGTTATTGTTGCCATAGTGGTGAAGAGATCGAGTTAACTGAATATGAAGTACTATGTGATACTTCATTGCATGAACTTGGAAAAGGGTAACATAATTCATATTGTGTATGTTTAATATAAATGTTATTGTGTGTCCGTGTGTGTGTACAACCACAAGGTATTCACTATAGTTTCATGATAATTCATTCTGATATTATAATGACGAGATTTTTCTGTTGAGATTTCTTTTCAAAGGATTTGGTATGAAACAGTGTAGGAAAAGTTTGTAGGTTTACTTCTTGAAGAAATGTAGAACAGTCGTGTTTGCATTGGAGAAATATTAATGAAGATTATAACATAAGGTCGTATACTATAAATTAAGACTGCACTTGTTCGATTGATCCCCGAAGGACATGTTCAAATTGTAACGGGATATTATATATATGTATATATAAATATAATGCCCTCTTTCATATGTTTTGAAGGATACTTTGCTGAACCTAGGTCCATGCGATTCCCATTCGGCCAATGCCTTTTGTGCTTGTTTGCAACTCCTTGTATGAGTGAGGTATTTTCTTCTACATGACCGCAATATAACAGCAGTTCCCCTGAAGCTAATCTTAGTTATCCAATCTGTGTCCAATGAGTTTCACCGATTCCAAGCATCTCCCGGTTGTATCCTTTCATCTCTGCAGCAATTTGGAATGGTCTTCTGGTCTCCCACATTGTTAGAACATTACATGTACCTAAACGAATGTTTACTCTGATTGTCAGAAGAAGTATCGGCCTCGTGACTTCCGAAGAAACTCGGATTTCATCATGAGACGTCACAACTCTTTTGAATGAGGACTTTCTAACTCTCAGGGTAGAACTCAAGTGGTCTGAGTTCCTTTTTCTGATTAGCGTTTTTTCGCGAGTCAGTTTTCTACGGGATGGAGTCGCTAACCCCATGCCCAAATCTCTTCCTTTATCTGGGCTTGAAACCGGCAGTAGCCCCAGAACGTTCCAGGCGGAATTACAGTTTACCCTACTGATCTCTAACCAGAAGGGGATTGGAGGGAAATATGATATATTTCAAGTAACTGAAACAATGGAAAGATTACAGTAGTAAAAACAAGAGTTTCTACAGAATTTACAAGAGAATCTGAAGATACATACTGGAACCATCTTGTAACATCGATTATTTCGAAAACATTCAGTTAAGACAGTACAACTTGGAATTATACTAAGTATACACTTCAAACAGTTTTCCAGTAATAACAGTTTGTAGTCAAATAGCAGTAATCTACTTTATAACTTATTATTCAGAAGAGAATTCAAAATATTTTCTCATTAATATTTTTATCATCACATATATTTTTTCCAAACAGACAGACAGATACAACACAGAACTTCATATGTAAGTAAGTACATCAGTTCAGGTTGCCATGCCCCGTTAGCACACAGACGCAACTGTCAGTTCAAATCCAACAGTGATAGCAATACTAGAAGTATTAGCAGTGGCTGCTTACCCGACCGTAGCTGCTACCTTGACGTGGTGGTCGAGCTTGACTATCGTGATGACCCAACCGAGCTATACTGGCTGCAACATATGTTCCTGTAGGTTCTACCATGCCAGGCAGGTCGATTGGAGAATGACGGGACTAAAACCAGTAACTTAATGTCTGAGGGCGATGTAGTACTGCTGACTGTTGAGGGGTGTGACGGCAGTAAGGTGTTTCCCTCGGACAACCAGCATCTGCAGCGATGCTGCCTTCTCACAAGGAAGGAAAGGTTAGGAAAGGTCGACCCTAAAAATGTCACACCTCACCCTACCTCACTGATTTCCGTCTCCGATGGTAAGGGTGCCCACTAAGGGCTTTCAATAGCGGAGCTAATCATCAAAAAACTTTTCATAAAAATGCCATGCCTGACCGGCCTCAAGCAGTTGTCTCTTGGACTCTGCGGTCACGCACCCAGGTCTCTAAGACCAACGCTAATATACCTGGGCAGCCGGGAAGTGACAACCGCCCTCATACCCGTAAAAGCACACAAGACCAAATTGGTCAAAATCGAATCCTTCCTACACCCCCTAATACCTCTCTTATCTCCACGACTAACTCTTCTTACATTCCTTTATATTTTTTCCAAATAGATATGAATGGGTAAAGTCATCTCATGGGGGATTTCCAAAACACTCAATTATTGCAGGAGTTGGTTCGGATGGAAAACCATTGTATATTGCCAAAGGATATGTTGAGAATAAATTATGCGTTGGAAAAGTGAGTCAAAGTATCACATTTCATTCATTATGGATAACCATAATGATTATCATCATGAAATTAATGTGCCAATCTTGGAAATATATTTCACTCTACTTTGAATTCACATACTATGAGTCCATCCATTTGATATGTTAGTCACTAGGTATGCTATTACGAGTTTACCTTAGTCGATAAACGCGGACGAGACAATGAACCAGCGTCCAGATAGGCTACCTTGAGTCCCAAGCTGAAGACTTTGTAAGAGTAGAAAGTATATTCTACAAACATCCAGCAATCACGCAACACAATTAAGCATACCACTCTCGTTTATTTATACATCACAGAAACATCCTTTGGACAGTTACGAAAATAGCACACTAAAATACACAGCAGCCAATCAAGACCATGGATTTTCATGGCGGGAAATGAAATCACAAGGTCAACTGATCAACCCATGCTGGCGAACATGACATCCAAAATAAAGCATTTATCAAGCGAGTTTTGGGGATCTAACATCCCAAACACCATTAAAATATTGTAAACTTGTAGCTAATGTTTAGTATGATGAAAAGTTTCACAATATTGATCATTGATTAATGAAATTCAAATTTAATTTTTTACTTGATTTGATGATATGATTCGGATTTATTTATAAATGAATAATGATTGAGTAGTGATCAGTGTCCTATTTGATTAGTCTTATAGAGTTGATCAAATTCTATTGAGTTGTACTATGATCACTTATCTAAGAAACCCTGAATGATATTGACTATGTTTTGAAATCGTCAGGAAGGTCTGGACGTAGATTGTAATTGAATTCAATTAA